AAATATAATTTTACATTAAATAAAAAAGTTTTAAACTTAATTAAAATAAAACATGTCTTAAATTAAAATAAGTAAACTGTCATGTTTATTGCTGCCAAAAAAAAGTTAAACACATTTGGACAGTGAAGGAATGTCAGGATTCTTGCTCAGAAAAAGGATCAAGACTGGAACATGCTCTGAAGTCAGAGCATGTTCCAGTCCACAAAAACTTTTTTTGTAACAAAATATTGTTATATTGTTATATATATATATAATATGTTATAAAATATTGTTCTGCTGTCCCTGTATCGATACATTATTAGCAAACAAAATATCACGATACTACACAGTATCGATTTTTCCCCCACCCCTACTGTCTTGTTAGTCAACTTTTGTCTGGGAAACTCCAGGAAAAAATAGAGGCTGAATCAACTAGATGATTGAAGAAAAATAACAAAAAAAAACTCTTTTTCCTTGCACTTTCCCAAAACCAGCATTTTAATCCTCCTAATAGAAATACAAAACAATCTCACGGTACACCAGGAAATTATTCTCTCTGTTCATACTCAAACAAACAAAAGCACAACTTGCAGGCCATCTTATAAAAGCTTTTTCCCTGATGAAAAGATGAAAAGACTGGTTATTTTGCATTTACCCCAATCAGCCCAGTGTTAGAGACAGACAGAAGTTCTCTTTTTCTTTACTGTCAAACCCAAAGCCCTGCTTGAAAATGCAGACTTCCTAATATTACAGCCTTTTGCACATGGCACTAACTGCAACAGATTCCTTTAAAGTGGACATAATATGGCTGACATAATAACAATAGCGGGACTTCCAGTCTGTATCGTGCTATTAAGTCTCATTTAGCTTAAATATTACAAGAAAAAAAAAACTATTTTCTTAAACACTAACGCCTAAGATCCAATAGCCTCCAGCAGATATTGGGCAAGAGGCAAGTTACGCCCTGGGAAGGGCGCTGGTCTATCACAGAGCTAACACATGCACGTGTCTTTGGATTGCACAGGGAGAACACCCAAATCCCACACAGAAAGGCCCCGGCTGACCAGCTGTGAGGCATCAGTTCTTACCACTGCATAGGAATAATTCAGTTCCACAAACACAAAAATCTAAAATGTGAGACAGTTACTGCAGGTGTTTAAGCCATGCAGATGTTTTGTTAGATGGACTCACAATTAATTTACAGTGATTTAAAAACTCTCAGTTATCCTTTAAGTCCTTAGTCCACGTAAAGCTGTCGAAATGGGCAAATCAAATGTGCAGGTGACTTTTTGTCTTTTAAAGTCAATACAAGCAATACAACAGGTGTTTCATTTGAAATCTGACCAGATTATTTATGCTTCTCCTGTATCTTACTGTACATCCCATCACGGAGATGCAGATACAGATGGATACAGAGCATCTGGTCAAAATCCAAGAACTGTCTTGGGTGGGTCGATCAACTCTGGTAGGGTCGTCCTTGCCAGAAAGTAAAAGGGTCGGACTCAGTTTCTCACTCATATTCTACAATAACCCACACAAATCATCATCACTGGTCTACAAAGACTAAAATCCAGAGGAACTGCAAGATATTTCACACCCCATGACCATTACAAAGAAAACAAGAAAGTGACTTAGATAATAATAACTAAAATCACGCACTACAACCATGTCAACACTTCCTCTTTGCATGTAGAATGCAAAATGGCAGTAATCGCCACAAAGAAAAAGTTTGTGCAAATGCGAAACCATTTATTTCAAACAAAAACATTTTTTGTGGCGGCTTTGCATTGCAATCCAAAACGCCATAATATGGTCTTCCTCTGGAATTTTTCATGTGGCCAAAGAATAATTACAGGCTGCCAGCCCTGTGGAGTTTTATTAGACATGTTTAGAGTTTGTTTTGTACAACAAGACTTCGCATATGCTTCTTAAAGGGGACATCCATCCTCCAACCATCTTATTCTCCCACTTATTCCAGCTCAATACTTGGACTCAACTCCTTAGAGAAGTCACTTTTCCAACATTCAAATAACCCTTATTTATCCTACAGTAGGCCTTGGTGTAACCTCTCA